CTCTACAGATATTTTTAAAATCTGACAAAGTAGATTCCCCAATAAGAGACAGCCTTATATGCTTTACTGCCCTCAACATCTATAGACTGTCTCTAAATTTCTAGATAATTTACTATTTTCATATAAGTATTATAAAAAAATTGATGATCTTATTAGTTCTATTGCATCTTGAAAGAATAACCGGAGGCACTTAATTAAATTACAAGTTTTGGTCAATGTCCTCTTCCTTCCCTCTTAAAATCAGGACTAAAAGCTCATAGCATATTCCATTCTGCACCTCCATCATTTCTTTTCGTGGTATCTTTTACTTGTTGGTTAGTTTTAATGATTTAAATTTGAAAAATTTGATTAATTGTATTTGACCCATAGAAAGAAATTTAGAAGTTACGAATTTCCTCTGAGTTTTCTGATATTTGGTAGCTTGGTAGGTTACAGGAACTCAAATTTATGTCCACTTTCCATTCCTGGAAGACAGGCTGCACCATGGATTTAATAGTTCAAATTCCGTTAGCCTGCTGCAGCCAGTCAGCATCATATTAGCTCAAAACCAGCTGAAGCTTTGTATTGTCTTTACCAGGTGGTTGTTAAGGATCTCTTTTCACCATAAGAGACATCTGGACATTACATTGTTGGGATGCTTTTGAGATACAGGATTGAATGGAAAGACTTGGGTGGATGAGTTTGTGTGGGATACTGTGCGGGTGCTGGGAACATGATACTGTGTTGGAAGGGACATCTGAAATGTAGGCTGCAGATGTAGGGAGGCCTTACCTCATTAGTTCTTGTGTTCACGGAGCTACTTGTACTGTTGTTTTTCCACGTTGTAGTTATGGTTGCTGTGCTTGAGATGTCATTACAGGGATCCAGTTTTTAGAGCAGGAGCAAGTCATCTTCTAAAAAAATACCCCAACTTATGTTGAAGCAGTTCCTGAAAAAGAGACAATTACTGATTAGTGTTGAGCAGTTTCTAGCAGCATTTTTTAAATACAGTTCTGAAACGTAGCCTGTACAATGCCCAGGTTTGAAAAATTAAAGCCCTTTAGAGTTCCCTGAGAACCTTCCTCATGGAATTCAGGGCAACCAGAGTTTTCTGGTTTATGATAAGCATTTTCCTGAGAGAAGAGAACTGCCATTTCAGTTCTGGTATTTTAAACTGTACTGTTAAAATTACTTGTGCCTTTTTACAAACCATTTTGGTTGGCTTTATAAAAATGTCCTCCTTTCTCTGGTGTTTGTGCATTCCAGTATGTGCATCATGGTGAGCTTTTTTTCTGTCCTTCTTCCCTTTCTAACACTATATAACTTCGTCCATGTGCTTTTACACTGTGATTTATGTCAAAATTGGGGTTTACAGCTTCTTGCAGTTGTCTTGTTTTGCACTACTCAAATGGAGGAGCTCACCATTGTTCGGCTACAGGAAAGACAATAAAAGTCCGGTTAGGGTTGTCTTGTTCCTAAGGTGTTTTTTGCCTTTAAAGATAATATATTTTTGTAGGTGCAGTGAGAAACTAGGGTAAGCACTCTGCATTACCTATTTGTTGCATAAATGCATAAATGCAGTACTATGCATTACTATGAGAACAGCACTGTGTACAGGGTTTCTGCTCCCAGCCTGCGGTAGCTGCAGGTATTCCCTGGAGCAGGTATCCAGGTTACCATCCCTCCAGAGCCCTGGGAGCACAGGTGGGAGGCAGCAGCATCTGTCCTCCTCTGATGAGCAAAATAGTCCCTTGCTGCATTTACAGTAAATCTGAAAGTAAACATTTAACAAATTCCTCTTGACCTTTTAACAAGAATTAATACTTTTATGCTCAGGTTTGTCATTAAGGTTGCACAATATAAACCCTCCCCGTCATACTGTGGTTTATGTTGAACACTTAGAAGAAATGAGGCTAGTGAGAAAGGGAGGCAGCGCAGCTATTTCTGGGTTTTCATTATAGAATTATGAAGATTTGTTTCTTGGAAGCATTTTTAAAAAATGATTTTTCAGTGACAGATTGCAAACTTACTTTCTTTCCTCTGATTTTTTTAAATGCATTTTAGTTTCCATACCAATCCATCAATACACAGATAAAACTGAAATAATGATTCAGAGGACACCTTTTAGTATGCCTAGCTTATTGCAGAACGTTATTACTCATTACCAACCAGAATGCAGAAATATCATAGTTCAACCAGAGAATATGTAGCTGTTTTGATCTTAAGAGCAGACTCTATGCTATTTAACACAAAACTTTTAGATGTAGATGAATTGTGGATTTATTTAGTTGTATTTTGGAGAACAATTTGCAATATTTCAGGTATGCTTTGAAGATATATGAAGAGCACAATTTAGCAGGAAGCCAATCAGAGTAATTAACCAATTAGCACCCAGGTGGTGGTGGTGTTATCATTGTTATGGGGTGTCTTTGATTAAGAAGTGAAAAACTGTGGTTGTGCATTCAGCCATTAGTGAAGCTGATGATAAAAGGTACATATAGATAGGCAAAGACCATCTGTAGCGTACCTTTTGAAATGTTATTGTACTGAGCAATAGAATTTTGAATAAAAACTTCAAAGAGTTTCTAAGCTCCAGAAACTGTATACTTTTTTAATTTTGATCCTGTAAGTTGATGATCAGCACGGAACACAGTGTAGTGGGCTGCTTCTCAAGATTGCACTGCTAAAGAAGAGCATCTTCTTTTCTGAAGTTAATGATTTTTATATACTTCCTGATATTCGCTCTCTACCCCTACAGCAGATTGCCTTCATGTACAAGTTCAAGAGAGAGATTTATGTTCATACTGGAAGCCTGTTATTTCAGTAAGCCTTCATCCATAGTGTGCGTGTCTCAACATGAGTCAACAAGATTCTATGGATACTCAAAATATTTTGAAACCATATGAACAGAATGTGTATTTTCCTCTGGCTAGTAAAACTCAATCATAAAGTGTTCATAGACTTATAATATGCAGCATCCAACCAACTTGGCAAATAAATTGTTTGTTAAAGCATATTCTGCCTGTATCTCCATACTGCATTTAGACAAAATAGCATTTTGTTCATGCCAGGTATCGGACTGGCCACTGGAGAATCAGGTTTTCTATTCAAGCAGGTTGGAGCAGATTTTTGATTTGACCAGTGATCTTCCTAGAGAAGAATGTTAGTACAAAATTTGTCCTTGGACAAATTTTATGGGATGAGGAGAGAGGAATTTTATATTGCCTGTTAATAGAATATGAATTAACAAAAAAAAAAAAAATCAATTCACATACTGATTGCTTTTTGAAAGAATTGGTGATTCAGTGGAAGAGAAATAATCTGAGGACTATTACTTGTTTAATGAGGTTATTCCAGGTTCCTCAGATACTGATTTTGAGGCTAGATATTAAAAGAGAAGCAAACTTGATCTGGAGATGTGTGCCAGGATTTGTGAGTGTCTTTTTTTGGTACTATTTGCTTGAATCCAGATTAGATACAAGAATTATTTCCATCTTAACAACAATGTGAAAAGCTTACATTATGGCTAATTTGCCAGTAGTTATTTATGCTTCTGTACTGTACATAAGAAGCATCTAAATTACTTAGTCTTATGATATAGTGTCTTTGTCTTCTCAGATGGATCTCTGATTCTGTTGTATGCTTTGTACCATGTAACAATTCGTTTGTTGTGCTGAACTGTTCTTTGTTTCTAGTTTATGCTTATGACCTTTTATACATCTACTTTCATGTGTAATTCTTTTTTTTTTCTTGTTATTTTTGTATTCTGGTACTTTGTCATTATTCTTTCTCATATCTTCCTTCTTTCTTGCTGTCCCAATTTTTGGCGACTATTGTATTCGTCAGACGTTTCCATCTAGCATTATATGACAGGTTCTTCTCTAGGAGTTTACAGGAGACATGCTGGGAAAAGATTTCATTTGTTTTCCCTTTGCAACTGTGCTTGTGTCTGAAGTTGTGTTAAAATGTAATAGCAATGCAAAGAAAGACTCTTTGGTGACTCTAAATGTTGCCTGTGCCTAAACCTGCTCCATTATTTGATTAAACTTCTGCAAATTGGAAGTAGACAAGAATGCATTGAGTTTCAGTCTTTTACTGGACAGTAATTGTGAAAATTAGATATGAAGTGCAATTAATTTACCTGATTGAAAGGCATTGATTGTGAGAAAGTTGCACAGAATTACCAGCACCGGAGTTTGGTTTTACATTTTGGCTCCACATTATGCACTTAAATAAACAGCCATGTATAAATAACTAATTTCTTTTCTGTATTTCACTTTCTAACTTTCTATCTCAAAGGCTCCAAAGGATGATCAAGTTAATGGCTACATTTTTATTCTGGTTTTGTAGAAGACCGTGTTCAGTCAGGGAGTATAATTCTAAATCTTTTAAATTTTATCACATTTTTCAATGTCTGATTATTTATGGCACTGTTTTGTTTTTATCATCCATGTTTTGGTTTCAATAGACTTATGTCCCTAGTCAGACTGAAGCAGTGTACTGAGGATGAATTACACTGGTGCATAACTGGAGCAATCCAAAGGAATACCTGACTTTTTTCTAATTAATATAAATGTAAACATTTTAAATCACCTTGATTGTATGTTTTCTGTATAAATAACTCTCCCGGAATTGTTAAATGGTGGTAAAACACCTGAAAATTACAAAACTTTATGCAACATCAAAAAGAAAGAGTACCACATATTAATATGTAGTGGATATACACTAAAATGTCTGCAAGGTTTTACATTTTATTCTGTTGGTACAAAATACCAGAACTCATCTCTGTCAGTCTCTATAATAGTTAGGAGATACAAGTCCAGCTCATGAATGTGTAACACTGTTAAGGCCATCAGCTATCACTCTTCCTCATCACTACTGATGTGAATCTTATTGATTCTTACAGAAATAAATACTGTTTTGGGAAGCACCTGGATGTTCTTTTTCGGCAGGTTTAATGAGATATGCAATGTTTATTTCTGGTATAATATAGGGTTTTTTTAATTATTTTTTTTTTAAAGTGTGCAGTTCGTGCAGCTACCGAAGGCAGAATCCTTGTGCTGGAAGGTTTGGAGAAGGCTGAGCGGAATGTCCTGCCAGTGTTAAACAATTTGCTGGAGAATAGGGAAATGCAGCTTGAAGATGGTCGTTTTCTCATGTCTGCAGAGCGTTACGACAAACTTCTGCAGGTATGGAAATGCTGTTTGGATTTTCCTTTTTTTTTTCCTATTCTTGGTAGTGCTGGAATACCGTTATGAATGGGAGAATACGAGTCAAATGGGGGAAATCTCACCAAGGTTTCTATGTTTGTTTGTTTTTTTTTCTGGGATGTTACATAGGATGAAATAGGCAGGGTGAAAGCTATGAGAGAAGTCAAACTGCTGCTTTCAACAGCAGCAAAAAAGTTTTCCTCTATATCTTGTCTGTCCACATGAAAAAGAGTAGTCTATGTTAACTTTGTATGAAGCCTGTGTGTTTCTAAAATGTGAAAGCCACAGTGTGAGAGTAACTAAAATATACTCGTGAAAAGAGATTTAAGTTGAAATTGTTCACATGAAGTTCAGATAATGTTTCAACATTGCAATAGCCTTGTTGTTAAGCTTTTTAAATGTTAGGATACCAAAAAAATGAGATCAAGGTAAAGGACACTGTATTCATCAGTGCTGCATTGCCTCTAATTTACAAAAGTGTATGTAAACAGCCAATCTAAATTATAGGAAAAGGTTAGAGAATTTTCTTTTGATAGGAAATGGGATTTTATTGTCTACTGCCATTGTTACTTTAGCCATTTTCCTTTCTTTCGGGCTTTGAGTCCTACTGCTTAAATTTGAGTGGATGCTTTTCAGGCTTTTGGGGACCTAAATAAATTGCATCAGACAGTTTCCAGTAGTACTGCGCATCTTTCTTTCATGTAGTGTAGTTTCCGATCATGTACCTGTCAGTCTCTCCTAACAGTCTGACACCTACTTGCTCGTGTTTCTGTCTGTCATACCTAACTGTGGTTAGGTATATAATTCAGACCCATGTGGCTCAGGAAGGAAATTTGCAATAAGCCTTCTGTCATTGATCCCAACTGTACGAAGGTACCAACTATGCTGAAGTACTGTAGTGAATTTCTGAAAATATATCATTATTTCTTCTGCCTTTCATCTGCAGTTAAAATTCTTCTGATCCTTGCCTTTTCCAGAAACATTTTTATGATATTTAATTAGTAGATGCAGTTGTTGGAAGCATCATTATTATATTTTAAAAGTAAACTTTTATAATGTAATTGTATTTAAAGACTGAAAATGAGAATTCAAACTTAGAGAAGATTTGGTTGCAATTATGCAAAGCATCTTCCTCTTTTCTTTTTTCCTTTTTAACACTTTTCTAAAGATAAAATGTTTCAAAATGAGTGCCTTGGGCACGCTGCTAATAGTATATGAATTAAATAAATCTCTTGCTACAATACTAAATCTAATATTGTTGTTTTGTTGTTCAGGGAATATTGTATTATACAATCTCATGTTTTCTCTTCTCCTGTGTGAATGATTACCGTACATCTAGATCTGCAGGAAATGTATTCATGTATGGATTCAAGGAAGACTTAACTGTGATGTAGGAAGACTCAAGAGTGCATTTTTTGTATGCAGTGAATCTTTTACATGACAATAAGTGAAATGCAACATTTAACATCCTCATCTAGGAGTTGGTTCTGTATTATTGCTTATAATAAAGCATAATTTGTAAATTAATTTTAGTCTCCTTTACAGTTATAAGAGGGGAAAAAAGAAGAAAAAAACCTTGCTCACGGTAACTCACTTCTAATGTTTTAGAATAAAATAAATTTTGTGGTTTATTTTCTGTTCTTTTTGAAAACAATATAATGATACCTTTTGCAACTTTGACCATCTGTGGGGTCTTTGGTCAAATTGCTGTAGGCCTCGACACTGCACCTAATCAAGCATTCTGTCTACGTTCATTTTGGAAAAACTCGCTTTTACCATCCACAAATTTGACTAGTTCAATGCTTTCTAGCCCCATTGAATAAAAGATGAGAACATTACCACATTTAGGTTGAAGGACCAGGTCGGTTAGTCAATCTACTCCTTAGTCGTCGTAGGTTTTTAATGATGTAATGTTTTTTTTTCTTCTTGTTGCTTTATTTTAATCAATTTAGGATCATACAAAATCAGAGTTAGATGCATGGAAGATTGTTCGAGTTAGTGAAGATTTTCGAGTGATAGCATTGGGCCTGCCAGTACCTAAATACTCTGGTAACCCTTTGGATCCGCCCCTTCGCTCTCGATTTCAAGCTAGAGATGTTTATCATCTGCCCTTTAAGGTAAGTGTCCTAGCAGAAGAGTTGGGTTATCTGCACTGAGTAGAGTTAATATTTTAACATTATGTTTTACTTGCTTCACTTCTGAAAAGAATCTTGGAGTAATAAATTTGTCTTAAAGGGTATTTTTCGTACTGAGGCCTAATAAATTCCTGAAAAGCAGGCTTAGAGTTTTTGAATGCCGCAGCAGAAAAATAACTTCCATAAAACATATGAATCTAAAATAAAGATTTGATAATATTTCTTATTTTTTTTTTCTTTTAAATAAAAGTAATTCTGTGTCAAGGAAAAAGTAGACTCATGTCTAAATTAGAGGGAAAAATAGAAAATGCCTCATGCATCATGAGCTGTGACCCACAGTATATCCCAAAATTAATTTACTCTGTGATTTTATGTTCTATTTTCAGGACCATCTTCAGCTATTATATTCAATTGGATCAAACATTTCCACAGAGAGGTAATTTTTCATAATTAAAAAAAAAATGGAATGAATGAAGAAAAGCGATGTCTTTTCAGGATTCCTTGCTATTTTTGTGTCTTCTATTGCTGCAGAGAGAACAGAACTGAAGTTTTTTAATATGTGTGGGTGTATGCTCACACAGCTTTTCGTATGCAGCCTTCATATAATGAATCCTTAACACTTTAGAACTTCAATCACACCTTACTTATTTGTGCTCAGAAATAGTTTCAGCATCTTATACTGTATTTAACTTTTTAAGCTTTAGTATTTTAAATACATATAGCATGTATAAAACTCTGTAATTACATTTTCCTATGCAGAATCTCTCAGCTCCTGTCTTTTGCTACAACTCTCTGCTCTCAAGAATCTTCTACATTGGGACTTCCAGATTTTCCTTTAGACAGCTTATCGGCTGCAGTTCAGATTTTGGTATGTGCATACACATGTGCTGTGAAACTGTACGGGCTTAAAATTTCTCAAAATTAGATCTGGATTATTTGTGTTGTTAGAGAAAGATTAACATGAACATTTAAGAAATAAATCCAAAAAAACTAAGGATGATTTGAGGGAGAAAAACCCCAGATATCTCTGGATGATACTTTAACCAAGTATATAGCATAATACTGAAGGACAAAGTATGTAATGACACAAGATTTGGATATGATTAAATGTATCTTAGTGCTCAAAAGAATGATTCTTATTCTGCTAAATCATCTTACCTGACTCCAGGGGCATCTACAGTTTACCTGATGACACTGAGGTAGTTAGTCAGTGGAGAGAAATAAAAATCACAACCCAGAAGTGCTTCTGGTTGAATGGTATGCATGTAAATCAGATTGATTGCATTACAAAGACACCTATTACTCTCCCTTGACACCTAAAAGGACCCAAAACAAGTATTCAAATGTGGGCATAGGAGACCCTTAAGTTGTATGAGATGAAGCCTACATTAGATCTTTGGGTTGGCTGGTGGATTTAGAATAAACACAGACATAGAGGCTTATCTGAAGATGCAGGTTGTGCACACTTAAAGGTGCAATACTTTGACAGCTACAGTCCATAGGGAAATACAACAACTATACACTTGCTGAGTTCACAGTGGCAGATCAGGCAGGTCAGGACTAAAACTGTGGCAGTCTTTCTGCTTTCCCTGACAGGCTGTTGTCCCTTGGACTTTATAATTACATAGTAAAAAGTCAAAGTGAAAACAGAAGTTACCTCCTGAAGGAAGTCAGGGAGATAAGATCTGTATAAAGAGGGACAGGGCTTGGTACTCCTTGGCATGCGGGAGGATATGGTCAACCCAGAGGGCAGAATACCAGGACGGCTTCTCAAACTCTCTCTCCATGGTGCTGCTGTCTGTAGAAAGCACTCAGGATAATTATCTGTTGTGTCTCCCGTGCCATCATTTTACCTATGGTACTGCTCAGTGACAGATTACTTCTACATATTTTATTGGATTATATACATTAAAACATATCAATTACTTGTGTTACTGTGGTGCTCAGTCCCCTCAGTTGTGCTGGATACTTAACAGACGTGATTTTTTTCTGAATTAGTGATACTACATCAGATGTTAAGAAGAGATTAAAATTCAAGTTCAGAGAAATGAAACGGTATTTGGAGGGCTTTAGGAAAGAAATACATGTTGGATTTTAAAATAAATCGCAACTTTTTATTCTTTGAGCCCTGTAGTGAAAAATTATTTTTAAATGAATGCCAGATGGCTTTCAGAGTAATGGAAAGAAAATGAGCCCTAAGCTATTATCTAAACTATGGAATGAAGGAAGCCTTTTATTTTACATTAGAGAATGTGAAGTGTTATCATTGTATGACAGTGTCTTTTTTAGGTAGACAAGAACTGTTACTTTTAGAATTAGTTTTAATCACTTGATTTTCTAAGCCAACTGTTTTCAGTGATTCTAGCCACAGCGTTTTTCCCTTGCGTGCTAGGTCACTGCCATCCTCTACTTGTAGCTTGGTTGATTTAGTCATTTAAAAGTGTGGAGGGAATGCATTGTAGTGACTAGCTTCTTATCTTTTATCATGGACTCACACAGTCCCAAAATGTATTTCTTCGGTTGAAAACTCCTGCCTGCTGAAAGGGAGAATTTTTTTATAGGGTGTTGTTCTGAAGAGGCTAATTTCATACACGCCATTGTAATTATTATTAATTTGAGATAATGTGGATAAATTATATGTTATGTCTTTATATATAGACAGAGGGCTTTCAAAATGCAATAAAAGGCTCCCTGATCCTTTAAGCAGTACATTTACTACAAAGCCTTAAATGGTTTATTTTTACTGATCTTTTTTAATATGGAACATTATAAATAGTGTTACTGATTATAAGTATAAATTGAATTATACATTTCATAAAATATGCATTTCCTGGTTTCATTTCTAAGCAGATCTTCTTTCAGTTGGGTGCCTATGTAAATCCAAATGTATAACTGAAAATAAATTATTTTATTTGAATTATATTATTTACTTTTCTCTTACTTGATGAAGGCTTAAAAAACTAGTGCCAGTCCACTGACTGTTTTTCATTAGTGTTACACACAAGTAGTCCTTAAAAATTTGCAAGTCTTTTTTGAAACAATCAAGCATTACTTTAGGGTTTTTGAAACACACTTTTCCACTGTGAAAGGCTTTATGAATATGTTTCTCGAGTATTCATAAATGCACTTCCATTTCTTTATTACTGGAGCAAAATAATTGAATCTTTGTCTAGTTCAGGCAGCAACTGACGAAAGAGTTAGTACTTACAACTAACAAGGAGATAGGAAAAAAAAAAAAGTTGTTTTCAATTTAGTGTAGAAAGTGTGAGCGTACTAAGTAACTCATTTCAAAGCAAAACAGTTTTGATCAAACTGTTCAGAAATTTCTAGGAATTGATTTGTTAAGTAGAATCTATACAATATAATGGAATGAAAATTAAATACTGCAAATTGCTGTGAATGAGTAGATCATTATTGTGATACAGATTTCTTGTCATACAGATTCTTTCTAGTGGTACTCTGAAACTCAGTTACCTGGGGTGGGATTTGTCTCTCCTAACCTTAAATGTCTTTAGGTATCTGAACCAGTTACTGTAGCTTCCATTTATGCACAGGAAGGAAAGTAATTTTTAGGATGTAGTTCTAAGCTACTTCAGACATTTTTGTTATAATGAGTTGCACCTGAGAAACGCCTGTTTTGATATTTGATCAAATATTGCATGTAGTGGTCATTTGTATATTACCCTTACAGTTTTATTTTAAGTTTGGCACTATATAGAATTTTCAGGTTAATGGCTGGTGATAGAGTGAGCCAATCATTTTTTTAATTTGTATTTTATAATTTGAATTAGGATTCCTTTCCTATGATGTCAGTCCAGCATGTTATTGATCGGCTTTACCCCTATAATCTTTTCCTTGGAAAGGAAGGCAGGACTGCAGTCAAAGATGCATTAAAAGTAAGTATTGCACATGTATGTTACAATTCCAGGGAGTGATGGATTATGACAGTAGTTCTTCTGACTAATGTTGCTTCACTACTTCTGTAGAAAAAAAATATCTTACCTAAACTAAATGGCTACATTATTGCTGATGCTAAAACAGCATTTAAAAAAAACCTTCATAAACTATTAGATTTTATTACAGTGAAAGATGAAACCTCTATTTTCTGTAGAATACTTAGACCTCAGTTCAAGACTACAGAAAACCCCTCATTATGTAAGTGGTTAATTAACTTGGAAGTAGCTACTTATATGGTTAAGGTAGTCAAATGCTTAAAAATTAGCTCTGGCATTTGGCTTTTAAGAAGAGGTACTAAAATGACAATAGGGTTTGCATGCACAAAATACATTCAGTATGGCATGATTATATATTATATTAGTCTCTAGTTTTGTTCTGTGTTAGCCTTTTGTTGCTTGTTGTTGGTCAGATCTCTTTAGTTGTTTTGTCCATGTTTAATAATAGCTTATAAAGCCTATAATTATGCTTGGTTATTCCATTCATCCTTTTAAAACTAGCACGGTGCCAGCTTTCTTTAATTTTTGAATATGTTGTAGGAGTTATGTATGTTGTTGAAAATTAGCATTCACAGCTTAGGGCATCTTACGCAGCTCTTTCAGTCCTGAAAATTAGAAGTTATTTGTACGTGCATATTTAGAAATAACAACTTTGTAGCTAGTGGATTTTTGTTTTTCCTAAAACCAAGCCTACGTGTCAGGAAATGTTTGTAGCCCGGCTGTGCTGGCACCTCCCATATGCTACCTTTTGCATTGGAGCTCAGTCCTTTATTCCCTGTTTAACCAGGTTGGTCTTCTACTTGTCTTCCTGAGTTTTGGGATGGACAGTCCCTGCATTTGAAGGAGGTTGTCCTGAATGACTTGCTAGATTTCATGAACCTTCAAAGCTGCCTCCTGTGGGGTCCTGCCTGCTGTTCTCCGAAAAAGCCAATCTGGCCTGAAATCCAGGATCTGTAGTCTGTTACTTGCTCTTCATGGCTCCCCCTGAGGATTTTGACCTCCATTATTTCATGGGTGCTACAGCCAAGGCTACCGTTGATTGCCACATCCACAACCAATTGCTTCTTGTTTGTGAATAGCAGGAGCTGTCTCTGCATCACCCCTGCCCATCCAGTGCAGCACCTGTGTTGAGACATTATTCCAGGCAGCCTCAGAAATCTGGATTGATTGTGTCATACTGTGTTGCCCTTCCACTCCACGTCAGAGTGATTGAAGTTGCCCATAAGAACCATGGTCTGCGTGGAAATAGAATTCTGTCTGTTAGTAGAGCAGTAACAGTTACTTCTGTTCTTAATATGCCTTTATTTTAAATTCTTTATGTCATTTTGTTTCCCCTGTCATTTATAGATGTTGAATGTCTTTATGTTCAGTACCATCAGCTTCTTTCATTTTCCATTTCTTTAATTTTAGGTGTTGTGCATGCTTTTGCTTCCTGTGTAAGGCAGGTTGATTTGACTAGTAAAATCTTCTTTCTCAATGATCATCTACTTTTAAATACCTCCTTATCATTTACATTTTTCTGTGTTAATTTTACTTTTGTTTTTTGATACTCTTCCTCATCACTACTTATACAAACTTGTCCCATTATGTCAACAAGTTCATATAATTTAGTTTAGAATTTTATTCTATTTGCACACAACAAATCTTGTTAAGTAATGAACCTTAACAAATGCAGAAAATAAGTGATTGTACTGAGGAACTTCTGTTTATAATGATGTTTTACCAATAGCAGCATCAGAACTGTATTAAATATGTATAAGGAATGATTTTATTTCCATTCCATAAGAAATGTGAGGGAGAGGAGTCTGGCAGAAGCAAGGTGACTTCTTACTCTACCTTCCTACAGATTTCCAGATTGTCCAGCTAGTATTTGCCACCGAATACTTCTCTCTGTGTAACAGAATACGGTTAGGAAATACTACTTTTAACTGGGAGGTATCAAGAGTTGAAAAAATAAATACTTCAAGTGTATTGCAATTGATGGGTTAATTTGTGTGAATTGACTCACTTCTTAACATCAGCTAACATTTAAAGACAATAAAAACAAATTTCATATAATAAAATGCAAAGTTCAGGCATCAGACTTGGAGACGGATATGGGGAAGGTGGTAATCTAGCTGATAATGTATCTTAATTTCAGGATGTCTTTCCTTCCATTCCACCATCAGAGCTGAGAAGTGAAATAGCCAGTGGTTAGGCTAAACAGCTAATTTTGGCAGCTGGTAGACCCTGTGCATATTTTTTGAAGAGATCATATTCTGCAAGCACTGTCTTCCCAAACATTATCTTCAACTTGGATAAATCTTTTCCTTATGTGCCTCCTTGCTTACTGAGACTCCACCAAGACCCAAGTATTCCTTGTAATTCTTATTGTTGATAATGGATTAATGTGAAAAATTGACTTACACCTTCCCTGTGAGTGAAAGTGGTTTGTTTACATGTTAGTCTTGGATGTGTAAAGATGCTTTGAAATGCAAATCTCTTGTTGAATGGATCCAGTTGGAGTTAAAACCTGTCTTAGGCTTAACTCTTGTGTATTAACCAACTTTTTAATTTGATACAAATGTGCATACTTGTGTCAAACTAGTTAGCATCAAAAGAAGTGTTTATCGATTGCACACTAATCCAGCATCAGCAGTGATCTTGAGAGTTGCTTATCGTACAGAACATTTTATACAAGTGCTACATTTTGCAGCATTCATTAGTTCATTAGCTTGCAAGAGACAGGACAGAAGTACCAAAATAAACTTGAGAATGGTGTGCCTTTGTGTACTTACTTGAAGTTTCTGCACTTTGGAAACTGCATCAATTTCTATTCTGATTCTTAAAGAGTATCTTAAACTTAGAAGATCTTGCAAAGGAAAATATGAATTGGTTTGAATTCTGGCCTTTAAAATTACTCTGTACTTGCATGAAATATTGGCATGACAAATTATTTTGACTGACAGATTAACAGTTGAAATATGATTGCAAAAATTAAGTAAAAATTTATTTAAGCTTTTTCTCTACAAGATTTAGAAATAGAGAAATCACTACTTTCAAGGAAAACAGTCTCCAGTTAAATGTTCCCAAACAATCAGCTTAAGCACATAATGATGTCTGCCACAAAATTGAAGTTTTCTTTCCTGTCTACTACTGATAGACTTTTATAAAACTGGTCATCTTTCTTTAGGCTGAATCTGACTCAGAAGAGACTCCAACTGTTCTGTACTTATTTCTTCATTGTTCCATAAACTTTTAGTACTTCAGATTAATCGGAGATTTTGGGTTTGCTTTTTTAATTCTTGCATGCTTTTTGCATGCCTTTTTTGCCCAGTGTTGGAAACGCACACTGTTTGTTGGGGTTTTTTAACCTTCTAATTAAGAGAATCTTCCCATCAGATTTTAGAAACAACATATAGATCAGACTTGTCTTAATAAATAAGCAAGTCCCTTTTAGCCTGCTACCCAAGTGTTTAACTTCACTCTAAGACCCTTCTAGACTTTTTCTTCATTTTTCCTGCCTTGGTTAATTCTGTGTTTACTGTCTTGATCTTACATCAAATAAAAGCTTGTTTGTTCCCTTTGAGTTATTTTTGTATTATTTGCACACCCACTTTAATCTTACCTGACCTCCTTCTCAAAAACTGTTTCCCTGCCTCACAGTAGGGAATCGTCAGACTACATAGGCACTCTGTCATAGAGAGTGGGCTAATAGTTCCGAAAACTGGAATCTTCTTTCTTGTCTAGACAATTGTGTTCCCTTCTAAGATATTTCTGTTGCAAATTTTGGTCTAAGGAAGGATTTGTTTCTCTTCTTCCCCCTGAAGTAATTTATAATCTTCGGGGTTTTGTAGTAATGAATGCTCTTAGTGCCAGTACATACCATTGTAGTGGAATCTGTCCTTCAGACTTCATCTATCTATCCGTCTCGTCTTGCACTTGCAGTTTGTATTTTGCTTCTTACGAAACAGTTCAGTCCTCTTGTTCCTTGAAAAATTCTTTTTCCTCCCCATGCAGAGAATCTTCAAGAAAGATCAGTTGCCTTTGGATGCCTCTTTTGGATAGCTTAGCTGTGTTGTGTGTTCAGCATAGTGGTTATCTGCAAATATGTCTCATTTAAGTTCTCTGTTCCTTTAACCAGCTGGATCACCAGCATGTTCTTTACAGTTTCCATGCTGAAAAATTACCGATCATTACATACTTCCAAGTGGTCAGAATTCCTCTTCTTCCTTTTTTCTGATCTTTACAATTTGCCTTTTTTCACGTGTTGCTAGGCACGCAAAATGTGACCTGATGGTTATGGACTGCCAAACCACTTCCCTTGTTTTTGGTGGCTGGTTTTTGCTTTTTTCTTTCCTCTTGAGTCTGAGGCAATGAGGCTGCCCACTTCTGGCTCTCCAAGTGTCTCCCAAACTTTCTGATACTGAATGTGCTCGGTAGTTGTCCTTCCAAGCCACAAGTATTTTTTCCTTTGCAGCTATCAGCTTGGACTTTGTGTAGAGGAAGTTGCTTCTTGCTCAGGCAGAAGTGCGTTTTATGTGTCATACATCCATTTCATGCCATTCTCTGATTCCATATTGAGCTATCGTAATTCTAAATGAAGAAATGCATCAAAGAGATCTGTCTTACTCTGAATGCCATGAACAGTTTTGTTTGCTGCTCCTGTCCAGGTCTAAGTGTGGTAACTTGTTTAATTACTACATTATCCAGTTCAACAACATCTCCATGCTTACATGTGATGAATTCAGATTGTACAAATTCAGTTAGATGAATTCAAGTTGTTTAAATTCAGTAATGATCTGTGCAGAGAATGGCAGTCCTCTTTCACTGTACGAATTTAGGGTCTACAAGGCTAGCTGCAGAACCCTCAACAGTATTTTAAGAAAACAAACAAACAAACCCAGAAAACAAAACCAAAAAACACCTTAGAAATTTTAGGCTCCCAAGACCTTTGTGTACAAGGTCTGCTGTTGCTGTCTCCAAATATCCATAGTTTGATACAGAGGCTGCTGGTCCAGATAATCTTCTTGCTTGCTCACAGTTGTTTTCTTTTGTTGATATCTGATTAAGGGATTTTAGTGTACAAGCAGTTTGCAATTTTGTGTGTGAGCAACTTTGACCCTATGCAAAATGCCATTAACTTAGTAAGAACATTACAGTTTACTAATGAATGTAAGAGTGAGAACGTCGGTAGTTTACCTCACAGAATCATAGTTGGAGCATTTCTTAGAATCATAGTTTGAGATGCTACTCAGTAGGCATTCCTCTCCTCTGTTGTTGTTTAAACATTTAATGGTATCTGAAGTAGACTCAGCTTGTTACAATAAGAATGTAATTTGGTGCAGCCCTTTACTAAAGCACATTTATCTTAAATTCATGTTTAAACATGAATTTTTTGTAGGCTCATGTTCCAGAATGGGAACTTAGAAAGTGATGAAGAGCTAAAGTATTTGTATGAATGCATCCTAGTTTTCTTTCTAAACTTTAATAGGCAGTGCTGTGAATCCTAGTAGTAAGAAAACTACATGCTTTTAAAGAATTATTTTACATTAGTGATTTCTGTTTTTAAAAAAAAAATTTCTTTCTAAGAATTCTAAGGAGTTGGATAATACTTATTTTTCTCTTGTTTACTCAACTTTCACTCTGTTGAATGAAAGGGCTCTATGATTTCAGTAATTTCAGTTAGTGGCTTCTTTTGTGCATAAACTCCCCTGATATGGCTTCCCCTTCCCCAACAAAATAGACATTTTACAGGATTTTGTAAATGGTTTTCATGCTTTCTGTATACAGCATAAAATAGAGAGTATAATTCTCAAAAGAGGATTGGGAAGCCAAATGTCCTGCTTTTTGTCCTTGATAACCCAGAACATGCTGAAGGCTTAATTTGTACAGGTTGCCCTCAATTTTCATTGTATGATAAGGCTGTGGAGCTAAGTAAACATAATGTTTGATGGTTATTTTTATTGGTAGCCAGATGTTTAAATCTGCAATTGGTTATAATGACCTGCAGAGATAGGTGATCTATTATTACACATGCTAAAGGCTATCATCTGTTTCTCTTATTATTTTGGTCTGTCAGGCTAAGACTTGGCAAAGTCACCATATGACATTTTCACTTTACATCTGTCACTACAGTCAGAATAAGTAGATGGTATACAATCTTTTTGCTTTGGTTTTAAATGTATAATATATAGGCCATCAAGTATATGAATGCAGGTATGTGAAGTAAAAGTTGAAGTAAAGTAAATGGATTTAGGACTTCACAAGCAATTAATCTTGAATATACTCCTGGCCTTGTTTTCAGAAGGAACAGTTTTAAAAACCAAAAAGCTGTATTTAATAATTTCCCCCACCCCTTAATTCTACAGCGTTTTGAGCTTCAAGATTCAGAAAACCACTTGCTTCCCAGAAGGATTACAAAAGTAGAAAGTGTACATGGAAACAAACCCTTCAAGGCTGATGTAACTGTCCAGATTGGTGAAAAAGAAGTGACATTCCAGGTATGAATTTATATATTCACCGAACTATATATGTTTTTAGATATCATTAACTTGTTTTCATCTCATCAAGAATTTGACACGCTTGATACTGAAACTCATTTGCACTGAATATTTTTTGGTAGAGTAACACCTGATATTTATTAGAAAAGCATTTAGATGCTGAAATATAAGACTATGGATACACAAGATTTATTTCTGGATAACTCATACTTTCCTACATATGATGTATTTAAGTTTCTTGTGTTAAAAGAAATGCTAGAGTGGATGACAGAAAAGCCACTAAACTTATTTTTATTTTTTTAATTGGATCAGAATAACAGAGAGTACTTATAACGCTCTTGGTGTTTTTTAATAAAAACAATAGTCTGTCTTTGTCTACACTTCAAATAAAATCTAATGAGTGCTTGGTAATGTTCCGACACAGGATGTTGGGAAAATGGAACGAAAGTAATCACATTGAATATGATTAGTTTGAGTTTCTTCCAATGAAGTTTATGATCTGCTAGGTGGTGAAATGAGGTCTTATTCAGGAAACAGATGCTGATCTGAAAATTTGAAGTTAATGTTGAATTTGGAGAGTCTAGAGAGTCTGTAAACAAGGTGAATTAGTGGGAGTCAGAGAGAGATCATATTAACATTGGTGAGGAATATCCTCAGTGAGTTTGTACTATGACAAAGTGAAAAGCAGCAAATGGGAATTTGTCAGAAAAAGGATAGTCTGTAGGGACCTGATTCAACTCTTTTCTGGGGGGAAGATTTTTGCTTTTGTTTGATGTGTAGGTGATACCTTCTGAAAACAGGTCTGCAGAATGTCTCTTTGGGAACTGGAGGGCATAAAGAGTTTGCAGATGAAACTGTTCCCAGACTAGAACGGGAAGTGGAAATAGAGCAAGTACCTTAATGTGGGGAATGACTGAAACTCTCCGAAGTTCTGGTTAAAGTAGCTCCCTCAGATTTTCACAATACAATTTGCTCTTTCTCTTCCATGTATCTCTGATGAGCAGTAAATATTGGTGATTTTTATGTTTTGTCTGTAGCACAAACAGCCTCAAGTTCTTTGCAGACCTGAATGCTGTAATTGAATTGATTCACATTTTGGAGTTTGTTTGTTTGTTTTCCCTTGTAGAGTGGGCAAAGAAGTTGTGAAGGTCATGTATTAGAAATTATATAATTGAATGGGTTTTTTTAAATGAAAGATTTAAGTTTGATGGATAACAATCATCAGCAAAATATTACAGTAGTTTTAGAGAAGTATAAACCAGTACACACAGAGCCTAGAGCTGTCACAGTATATTTAGCATTTTGGTTACTTTTTTTTTTTTCCTTATAGGTTCCAGCTGGGACTGGACCTTTAAAAAAGCATCCTCGATCAGATACTTTCGTAAGGACTTCCAGCCATAATCAACTGTTGGCAGAAATGATGCAATCCCATATGGTTAAAGATATGTGTTTAATTGGAGGAAAAGTAAGAATTGAAATTTCTTTTCTCCCTGCTTCCCCATGTTCCTTAGAATGTAATGTAGTTCTTATTTTTTAACTTTTTAGGGCTGTGGCAAAACAGTTATTGCTAAGGAGTTTGCTGATATATTGGGATACAGCACAGAACCGATCATGCTGTACCAGGTAAGTAATCTATCTGCTGATGATCATGTTTTAAATATGATCTAAAATATTGCAGGCCTAAATAGAGGGAGTATTGTGCAGCCATATAGATAGTACAATGTTATTGCCTATAAACTAGCCCTGATACGGCTTTCCTTCGATTTTATTGACTTCATTGTGAACGTGAAAGTGAGGTAGTGTAAGTAAAATGTAAGGAGAATCGTTTAACACAGTGGTCTTTCTCCTAGCTGCAGAGAATTGACAACTGATCCTGTGATTTGGCATAACTGAGGGTCATAAAGAAAACTTTGTCTTTTGTGTCTTCTCCTTTTTGAGTTGTTTTTTTTTTTTTCCTTTTTGAAGTATGTTTCCTGCCTTTAGGTCAGAGTGATGACCATTTGTAATTCATGCATGTTGAATGCCTCCGGAAGACCTTTTGTTGTTCCTGTGTTTTTTTTTTTTTTCCTTCTTTCTTCATACACTATTTAATCTTACAATGTAATTCTCCATTATCAACACTATTTTTTAATTATTATGGAAGACAGTTTCTTTATTGTATTGAGAATACATAATGGAATTTGTTTCTGGGGAATTTTTTGAAAGTTATTTCTCGTGTTCCATAGGCTCAATCTTTCTTCTGTTTTTTTTGATGTGTTTCGTCTGTGAAGATCGCCTAATATCCTCTTACATGTTTGTTTTTTCTGATGCGTAACACATGGAATTTTAATCAATATTATAAATTTTGTGCCTTTTTTTTGCATTGCTATTTAGTCTGATGATTACAGTTATGGTGGGACTGTGTTGCAGTAGAGATTAGAAGATAAGGTTCCATGTTTGAAATTGTTGCATTCTAGAAATATAAGCTGGTGTTTAAATATATACATATTACATTCAATGAATATTAACTTCATTATTCATAGGTGCTATAACAAACAGACATTAATCTTCTTTGCCCTTAGCCTAATTGTTGCTAATTTATTTATATCGTATCTTAGTACAGATGTGGCTTTAAAAATATATTTGGAGCAAAGTGTGCATTAACAGTGCTTGACACATGCACAGGCAGTTGACGTAGTTGCCTTAAAATGGCAGTCATGGAGTAAAACAACAAGAAGGAAGAACTGGGGAAGTGCTAAGGGCATCCATGGGCTTTGAAGGTGGTGGCAAGGAGCTTGTTGTTGCAACTGTATTTTTCATGAGTTAAAAGAAGAAATTTACAGTAACTGAAAAAGTAAGGGCAAGTGTGAATGTTTTTACTGAGTAAAATGTGAAGTTTGTTTTTAAAAATATTAACATAGAGATAGTTTTAATGGTTTCAGGAGGGCAGACATGCAGAATAATAAGGGAATGAAGGTTTTGGAATGGTCAGATGTTTTGGACTATGGTAACCATGGTGCAGTGGGGCTGCTGTACATATAGAGTTTTTCCCTTTGATTTCATCCAGACAATCCTTCAGGTTTTCTCATGGCACCATTTTTTTTGCAAACCCCAGGCTTTGTCATGCTTAACCGTGATCTCCCATTGCCAGTGGTCACTCACTACATGTTTGGAAAGAATTGTCAGTCTTAGATCTTGATACACTCTAACCTCATGACATAAACTGAAAAATTACAAGACTACAAAGTAGAATTAAATAATTTGCTACCTTTTCACAGTAGAGATCACACATGTAAGATTTTCTCCATAACCTTGAGGAATGAAAACACTCTCAAAATATGAAGTCAAGAGTCTCCCATGACCTTGTGAGTCAAAATACACCAAATATCACAGGATTTACAGTTGTAAGAGATAATTGGCTGCAGGGGAACATTAGCATTAGATTAAATGCAATATGTTGGCCTCTTTCATCCATCCCTTCGCTTCTTTAAGTTTTTCCCAGGCAGCATGGAGACCTCCAAAAGTAGAAGTGGCAACGGCAGCTGATTTGGAAGTGCAGTGGCATGTGGGGAGGGAGAGACACTGACAGAAGTGGGTGGTGAGGTTGAAGGGTTGAAACAGACAAAAAGTGAGAGAAAATAGAAAACAGAAATATTACTGATGATGAAAAAAGAAAGACAGTCCATTTTATGTTTTCCTGCACTGTTGAGAACCTCCCCAGACAGGATCCCACTGCTTTTCCTTCCCCCTGTATGACTTCAGCTGATAAAGGCACAGACTCTGAAACTGTGTCCGCACAGATGGAGTCAGACAGGTAACTTACCCTTTTCTTACACTTTAATGTGTCCGGGCGCGAACAGATTTGGGTTCAAAAGCTACATAGCCTCGTCAGTGCAATGTTACGTTTGTAGTAATATACTTGGATTCCCAGCAGCACCTTTACCTGCTGTACAGTGATATATTAAGACAGGTGAGTAGTTTCTGAACCAGAACTGAGTGTGTCCAGCTAGCCTGCATACTACTCTCTGCACTTGTCACTGTAAATGTATTTTTAAATCATCCCAGGAAAATAACTTGCGCGACTTGACAAACCTGCTTAAGCACGGACACATGCTAACCCTTATTTTGTTGCACGCAATACAATATTGGGTACTTACCAGCAAAATTAGACAATTTTTTGGTTAAAAATATGGCCACTGTTTTTCAACATCCTACCTTTAATTAGTATGGCTTTGCTGAGTAGGAGCAGAAGACTTCCTTTTTGGAGACAATGAAATTAGTTACTTGGTAAACATCTTTCTTTCAGAGAGATCTGTAATTCCTACAGAAACGAGATTTAGGCCAAGGGTTTGAAGTATTTCCCACTGAAGTGAACCTTTCCTTTGCTTTCACCCGGATTTGATCAAGTTCAAGGGGCAGAGGGTTTTTATAGAGAGGCTTTTTGGTGATATCAAACAGTATTGCTAAGGCAACTAAATGTGTTTGTGAGCTTGCTGTTCACTATAAATTCCTGTGTAGACAAGTCCACGTAAAATCCACATGTGTATCTATACGTATAGATACTTCCTATGTACAATGTCTTAAATAATCTCAAAAGTTTTTACAGGAAGCAGTGGATAAAAAAATGATTGAATGTAGCTGAGCTATACATCTTCTGATAAATTTTAAGAATGTATTTGTTTTTCTTAAAATATGTAATAACATATCAGGGGCTTTACATAGTGAAGTTAATAGGATAATTTAATGACAGAACAAATGTTAAATGTATCAATACATAGAGTAATTCAGCAATGAAGGCTATGAGAAGTTTGATAATACTGTACATTTAGCAAATTTTTCTACTTCTGTTCAAAAAAGTGTCTTTTTGATTTTTTTTTTTTTTTTCTTTTTGAGAGAGACACCATATTGTCCTAAATCAATTTCTAAAATTAAGGAGACTTTTATTTTCCCTATGGTTCATTTTTGTCTTCCAGTAATTTCTGCAGGCACAAAGATAAGTAGTGGGGCATTTACCCTTGGTCTGAAGCAATAGCGCTGTTTTTATTCAGGATCTGTGAAGAAATGAATTCTTAGGGGTTTTTATGTATATAATGTTTACTTTTAGTTTTAATATTTGCTTCA